TGCTATTGACAAAAAACTTTTGTAATATATCTTTTGAAATAGGTGATCAATTCATCTTTCGTAAAATATTGATTTTTAGACAGCATCAGTTCTATATATCTGTTGATTTTGCTGTTGTATGCATAAATGATTTTCATAACATGAGACTTCATGCTTTTGTATTTTATGTTATCAGAGGAAAGATATGTGAATTAGCAGTTTATTCTTAATGTATTGGAGACACTACATAGTCAAAGGTTTTCACAATATATGTTTCCGATTGACTGATATACCATGTACATTCTATAGTAACAGTATCAATTGAAAAAGTACATCATTGTCTATTCTTTAGTTGTTTTTTCCCGATCAATGCTTCAGCTACATGTGTTAGTAATTGTACCGGCTACTCGTAGGGTACTTGTTTGTTTTTGATAATAAAACGGTGAAAGTGGTCATGATGTTGAAATAGAAGTTAATGAACATTTTTATCTTAAATTAATTGACATGATGAACTTTCCTAACGAATCCGTGTTGATTGTTCAATAGTTGATTGTGATGTGTAATAATTTACTCCTACATATGATTAATACGTATAAATATGTTGATTTCTTTCCCGCAATGAATGATCCTACCAACAGAACGTAAGTAGTCATTTTGTTATCATTGTTTTTAAGAATTTACTCTCCTTTCCTTCTTTCTCTATTTGATGACTATGATATAACAGTAACACATTCAAGATAATTTGATTACTCAGTGTATGAATTATATGTGTTATTGGAAGTTTGCATAATTTGCTCAGATAATAGGTACTCGGCATGTATATGAATATCATTGAATCATTTATATGCTGATATTATTTTGGAATTGATGATGACGTGATTTTATTGCAAATTGAGATTTTTGAAATGCTAATTTTGCATATTCAGACTTAGACTTAAATCAAACAAATTTCATTTCAATAATTTCAATTTGATATTAATTAAATTTGTATTATTAAACTATATATAATAGTATTAATCTATAACGTTTTCACATACCTTGGTTATTGCATTTTATATTAACTTGAAACATGACATGATAACAGTAATGCTATTGACAAAAAAACTTCTGATCAATGCTTCAGCTACATGTGTTAGTAATTGTACCGGCTACTCGTAGGGTACTTGCTTGTTTTTGATAATAAAACGGTGAAAATGGTCATGATGTTGAAATAGAAGTTAATGAACATTTTTATCTTAAATTAATTGACATGATGAACTTTCCTAACGAATCCGTGTTTATTGTTCAATAGTTGATTGTGATGTGTAATAATTTACTCCTACATATGATTAATACGTATAAATATGTTGATTTCTTTCCCGCAATGAATGATCCTACCAACAGAACGTAAGTAGTCATTTTGTTATCATTGTTTTTAAGAATTTACTCTCCTTTCCTCCTTTTATGATGACTATGACATAACAGTAACACATTCAAGATAATTTGATTACTCAGTGTATGAATTATATGTGTTATTGGAAGTTTGCATAATTTGCTCAGATAATAGGTACTCGGCATGTATATGAATATCATTGAATCATTTATATGCTGATATTATTTTGGAATTGATGATGACGTGATTTTATTGCAAATTGAGATTTTTGAAATGCTAATTTTGCATATTCAGACTTAGACTTAAATCAAACAAATTTCATTTCAATAATTTCAATTTGATATTAATTAAATTTGTATTATTAAACTATATATAATAGTATTAATCTATAACGTTTTCACATACCTTGGTTATTGCATTTTATATTAACTTGAAACATGACATGATAACAGTAATGCTATTGACAAAAAAACTTCTGATCAATGCTTCAGCTACATGTGTTAGTAATTGTAGATCAATGCTTCAGCTACATGTGTTAGTAATTGTACCGGCTACTCGTAGGGTACTTGCTTGTTTTTGATAATAAAACGGTGAAAATGGTCATGATGTTGAAATAGAAGTTAATGAACATTTTTATCTTAAATTAATTGACATGATGAACTTTCCTAACGAATCCGTGTTTATTGTTCAATAGTTGATTGTGATGTGTAATAATTTACTCCTACATATGATTAATACGTATAAATATGTTGATTTCTTTCCCGCAATGAATGATCCTACCAACAGAACGTAAGTAGTCATTTTGTTATCATTGTTTTTAAGAATTTACTCTCCTTTCCTCCTTTTTCCATTTGATGACTATGACATAACAGTAACACATTCAAGATAATTTGATTACTCAGTGTATGAATTATATGTGTTATTGGAAGTTTGCATAATTTGCTCAGATAATAGGTACTCGGCATGTATATGAATATCATTGAATCATTTATATGCTGATATTATTTTGGAATTGATGATGACGTGATTTTATTGCAAATTGAGATTTTTGAAATGCTAATTTTGCATATTCAGACTTAGACTTAAATCAAACAAATTTCATTTCAATAATTTCAATTTGATATTAATTAAATTTGTATTATTAAACTATATATAATAGTATTAATCTATAACGTTTTCACATACCTTGGTTATTGCATTTTATATTAACTTGAAACATGACATGATAACAGTAATGCTATTGACAAAAAAACTTCTGTAATATATCTTTTGAAATAGGTGATCAATTCATCTTTCGTAAAATATTGATTTTTAGACAGCATCAGTTCTATATATCTGTTGATTTTGTTGTTGTATGCATAAATGATTTTCATAACATGAGACTTCATGCTTTTGTATTTTATGTTATCAGAGGAAAGATATGTGAATTAGCAGTTTATTCTTAATGTATTGGAGACACTACATAGTCAAAGGTTTTCACAATATATGTTTCCGATTGACTGATATACCATGTACATTCTATAGTAACAGTATCAATTGAAAAAGTACATCATTGTCTATTCTTTAGTTGTTTTTTCCCGATCAATGCTTCAGCTACATGTGTTAGTAATTGTACCGGCTACTCGTAGGGTACTTGTTTGTTTTTGATAATAAAACGGTGAAAATGGTCATGATGTTGAAATAGAAGTTAATGAACATTTTTATCTTAAATTAATTGACATGATGAACTTTCCTAACGAATCCGTGTTTATTGTTCAATAGTTGATTGTGATGTGTAATAATTTACTCCTACATATGATTAATACGTATAAATATGTTGATTTCTTTCCCGCAATGAATGATCCTACCAACAGAACGTAAGTAGTCATTTTGTTATCATTATTTTTAAAAAATTACTCTCCTTTCCTTCTTTCTCAATTTGATGACTATGACATAACAGTAACACATTCAAGATAATTTGATTACTCAGTGTATGAATTATATGTGTTATTGGAAGTTTGCATAATTTGCTCAGATAATAGGTACTCGGCATGTATATGAATATCATTGAATCATTTATATGCTGATATTATTTTGGAATTGATGATGACGTGATTTTATTGCAAATTGAGATTTTTGAAATGCTAATTTTGCATATTCAGACTTAGACTTAAATCAAACAAATTTCATTTCAATAATTTCAATTTGATATTAATTAAATTTGTATTATTAAACTATATATAATAGTATTAATCTATAACGTTTTCACATACCTTGGTTATTGCATTTTATATTAACTTGAAACATGACATGATAACAGTAATGCTATTGACAAAAAAACTTCTGATCAATGCTTCAGCTACATGTGTTAGTAATTGTACCGGCTACTCGTAGGGTACTTGTTTGTTTTTGATAATAAAACGGTGAAAATGGTCATGATGTTGAAATAGAAGTTAATGAACATTTTTATCTTAAATTAATTGACATGATGAACTTTCCTAACGAATCCGTGTTTATTGTTCAATAGTTGATTGTGATGTGTAATAATTTACTCCTACATATGATTAATACGTATAAATATGTTGATTTCTTTCCCGCAATGAATGATCCTACCAACAGTCCGTAAGTAGCCATTTTGTTATCATTGTTTATAAGAATTTATTCTCCTTTCCTTCTTTCTCTATTGGGTGACTATGACATAACTGTAACACATTCAAGATAATTTGATTACTCAGTGTATGAATTATATGTGTTATTGGAAGTTTGCATAATTTGCTCAGATAATAGGTACTCGGCATGTATATGAATATCATTGAATCATTTATATGCTGATATTATTTTGGAATTGATGATGACGTGATTTTATTGCAAATTGAGATTTTTGAAATGCTAATTTTGCATATTCAGACTTAGACTTAAATCAAACAAATTTCATTTCAATAATTTCAATTTGATATTAATTAAATTTGTATTATTAAACTATATATAATAGTATTAATCTATAACGTTTTCACATACCTTGGTTATTGCATTTTATATTAACTTGAAACATGACATGATAACAGTAATGCTATTGACAAAAAAACTTTTGTAATATATCTTTTGAAATAGGTGATCAATTCATCTTTCGTAAAATATTGATTTTTAGACAGCATCAGTTCTATATATCTGTTGATTTTGTTGTTGTATGCATAAATGATTTTCATAACATGAGACTTCATGCTTTTGTATTTTATGTTATCAGAGGAAAGATATGTGAATTAGCAGTTTATTCTTAATGTATTGGAGACACTACATAGTCAAAGGTTTTCACAATATATGTTTCCGATTGACTGATATACCATGTACATTCTATAGTAACAGTATCAATTGAAAAAGTACATCATTGTCTATTCTTTAGTTGTTTTTTCCCGATCAATGCTTCAGCTACATGTGTTAGTAATTGTACCGGCTACTCGTAGGGTACTTGTTTGTTTTTGATAATTAAACGGTGAAAATGGTCATGATGTTGAAATAGAAGTTAATGAACATTTTTATCTTAAATTAATTGACATGATGAACTTTCCTAACGAATCCGTGTTTATTGTTCAATAGTTGATTGTGATGTGTAATAATTTACTCCTACATATGATTAATACGTATAAATATGTTGATTTCTTTCCCGCAATGAATGATCCTACCAACAGAACGTAAGTAGTCATTTTGTTATCATTGTTTTTAAGAATTTACTCTCCTTTCCTCCTTTTTCTATTTGATGACTATGATATAACTGTAACACATTCAAGATAATTTGATTACTCAGTGTATGAATTATATGTGTTATTGGAAGTTTGCATAATTTGCTCAGATAATAGGTACTCGGCATGTATATGAATATCATTGAATCATTTATATGCTGATATTATTTTGGAATTGATGATGACGTGATTTTATTGCAAAATGAGATTTTTTGAAATGCTAATTTTGCATATTCAGACTTAGACTTAAATCAAACAAATTTCATTTCAATAATTTCAATTTGGGTTTCAATATATGCATCTGTATAAAAGCATTGTTTGAGAATCCTACTGATATAGAAAAAAATATTCCCTTTATATCCTACTTAGAATGGATTGAAAACATTGATGTGAAATTACCTTCATCATTTATCAGCACATTTTCATCAAGTCTGGTTTGGATATACATTCACTGCTTATACAACAACAATATAAATTACACAGATGCATGCTGTTAATTTTATGCCCGAGCAATTTCTCTCTTAACATTAGCTCCGTTTTTAAAAATCTATTGTTTAACCGTTTACTTTTCTAACAAAGTGTAATCACGTACATGTAAATGTCATATATATTACAAGAAGCCCGGGGATTTGTTTCACTTATCTGTCGTTTGGTGACCATTTCCATTGTTAGTGTTATTGTGTGTTGGTATAATCCTATATTTTCAGGAGAGCTTAACTACAGCAGATATTTAGCACTGTTTAAAGGAGAAACTGAAAGTTATCGACATGTACGCGTAGTATTTTCTGGCAGGGATGCTGCCGGAAAAACTACCGTATGCCGCCGTCTCCAGAAAAAAAAAGTAAATCTGAAGTTGCGCAGACCAACCATTGGTGCTGATTTACATCCGGTATGGTTCTCCATTGACTGGAAATTGAAAACCTGGCAGTGTAACAATCGATCTCCTAGTACAGTGATAGACGCACGAATGGGAGCGATGATGACCAAAACAGCAACATTAGCTAATATACAGACAGGTAGTTGGCTAGGACTTTGAGATAAATTTATACATTAAATGATATGACGAAATTAATGTGATGTACTGTATGTCTCTGTGGAGAAACGATTTGAATCTCCGGATTTCACCATTTTGCGAAAAACAATATATAAGTTGATATTCAACATTAAGCATGATACAGATAATGATTTGTTCAAAGATAGGGCGAATTTTTACTGTACATAATTTCTTTGGGGACAATACGATGCCTGTAAAAGTTTCATCGTTTTGTGTCTATCCCGATTTTCATACAGTAGATTTTTTGATAGTTAAAATTGTCGTAATTACATTATTGTTTCGGATCACTTTTGATTTTTTTTTCAATTGCCTCTTACGCCCGAGTCCTATAAGGACGACACATCCTTATGATGTATTTTACTTCATTGTTTGGCTTAACTGTGTCTAACTCAAAAGTTAAGATGTTATTTGCTTGTTTGTCTTTTGTACCATCATTGGTACGTTGATCTTTAACAATAATATGAGCGAATTTAGGAGATACCTTGTGCAGGAAATGCCTGTTATCCAATCATTTTGTATTCATGACAATGAGATAGTAACAAATTAGAGGTATGGTTTGTTAAACATAATTATATTCCCCAGTTTACTATTACATGTTCCATAGCTATGAAGAAATACGAGAAATGAAATGTCATATTTTGTCATCACTTCAAGACACAGAAACAGAGATGTCGCCTCATAGTTCGACACACGGAAAACGAAAACGAAGTGATGATGAGGCAGGAACACTCGATATGGCTTCTCAAGACATCAAAACAAAACAGGTATCGCACCAAAGAGAAATAGAAATTGCAGATGAGGCACAAATAGTCCACGTGGCTTCATCTGATACCCCGTCTGATGTGGTGTTCCTTTCTTTATGGGATATGGGTGGCCATGCGCCGTTTCAAGCTTCACACAACATCTTCATTTCATCACACGGAGTATACCTTTTAGTCTTCAGACTAACAGATTTCATTAGAGACAAGCTGGAAACTGGTAGGTGAATTGACCTTCTCTGTATGTTATATTCATGATAAACATAGAAACACTTTCTTATTGCTTGAGCTTATTAAATATGTTCTTACTATGTAATTAGAATAAAATACCATTACATTTTCCTAATTTCTATATCTCTAAGCAAAATGTTCACCTGTCTGTAGAAGCGAGCATTTTTGAAATGTGTGTATTACACATTTTAAAGTATGCACTTTAAATAATCGTAAGTATTTTTCATGTATATAACCCGCAGGCTAATGATTTGCGAAACTTGTAAATTGTGAAGCTAAAAAGTATATCTCACAACGAGCTCTGTTAGCCACACCCTTCTTTATATTTTACTTATATAGAACGTGTCCCTTTTATCTTGACATCAGAAATGGATATGAAAACAAAAAAAGATTGTATGGTACCAAAAAAAAAAAAAAAAAAAAAAAGGAAAAAATAATAAGTTGCATCGTTATGGGCAACGGTAACCAAAGATGACTTCGAAACAAGTATATGGTTTTTGAGTTATAAGAATAAAAGCACCGTTCGTGGAGTACTGCTAATTGAAAACCAAGCAATATAAGTAGGAATTGTCTCTCAAGTTGTTAATGGGCAAATAGAGCAGTAGAGACGCAAGAGGAAAAAAATATGTAACGGGAGAGAATATCATTCTAAGCGTTAGTCCCTGTTTTCGAAGAACCAGGAATTGTTATGCATACCTAAACGTAATTAATTATTACTGATTTGGTGTGAGCAATAAAACGGGTATAAGTACATATAGTATGATAAAGCCTTGAAATGCAAAGGTCACGGTCATTATGTTTATCTGCGTATTTATGTCAAAAAAGTAATTCCGAAGGATCGACAATAGTAACAGCAATATAAAATATATAAACGAGAACAAAAGATAAAAAAACAACAAATAATGTACGTTTTCCTGAATATAACGATATAAGCCAATAAATCTGGTTCTTATCCATACATGTTATATCAGATTTATCAAAGGTATCTTAGAGGCAATCGTAAAATTTGCAATCTTGATTAACTATCAACTGATATTGTGTTTGACTAATCATGATTCCAGTGATCATTAATAGATAATTGACAAGCATAATATCATGATGACGTAACACCTTTACCACTAGTGGTATTCGGGAATAATAATAATGATAATAATAATATAAGCAACATTTTCACAATTTGACATTTTTGTGGATTAGTTGGAATGTAATTTTTATTGACGGCTAGGTCGAACAAGACGAGATATTTGTTGTGATTATTTTGATGGCTTAGGGTTTACCATACAAATCAGGTGATTTTAACAAATTTGTATCTGTAATTAATCATACTTATTTCTTACGTTTTAATTTTTTTATATATCGTGATCGGAAATAAAATTCAAGATTATATTGTTTGAAGGTTTAACATATTTTTATATACAGATCGGCTTAAAAACTGGGTTCGACTGATTGGTACATATTCCTCAGTTACGTTGAATCCTGAAAAGCTCAGCATACATTCGCCGCCAATAATATTTGTTGGCACATTTTTGGATGAATTGAAGAAAAACAACAGGGTAAGTGATACTATTTTCAAATGAAATCAAAATACATCCAACGTGATGATTACATAAAGTACTTACATCCATCATAAGTATTCATCATGTAATATATTATAAAATTTCAAGACAGAAAATGCAACGTACTAAATGCATGTATTTTTCAGATATAGTATAGTTTATCTATAATTTGTATCGTCAACAAACACACCACCCAAACTGGTTATTTTTGTTGATTAACTTCTCAATATTTTTTTAGATAAAAATAATATCAACTTACTAATATTAACACATATTTATTATTACTGCAGAACTACGGAAAACAAGTACAAGACATAAGGTTCAGCGTCTCAAGATTTCCCGAACTGTCAGCGTTCAACTTCGTCAAATTCTGCACTGTCGATAATAGCCTTGGCGATGATCATGAAGAGCTGGAAGTATTGCGAGGTTTCATCACAGAAGCGGCTGAGCACCAAGATCAGTGGGGCAGAGAACTACCTACTAGATGGTTAAAGCTCGAGAAGGATTTACTTGAAGCAAGAGAGAACGGACAGAAAATATTGAAATTGTCGGAGGTGATTGAAATGAACAAAACTTCTTTTGCGCCGTTGTCAGATGAAGATGAAATCAAACTTGCGCTGGCGTGAGTATGTCTTTAACAAATATCGTTGGTTTCTAAACATATTGTAGTTCTGTTCTATTTATAGCTGACTATTAACTGATTCCACTTATATATTTATATATTAGCTATAGTAGCAGTTCATAGGGTCTACACTGTCTGTAGCAATGGACACCACATTTGGTTGGTGACGAAAACGGATATGTCATAGATAAATTTCAAGGCCACCTGTACTACATGTCAGTCATTTCTTTTATACTCAAAATTATCAGAATAGTTAATGATGTTAATCAATCATGTACATTCTTATGGAAATGAGTTTTTTCGTCACATTGGAAGTTGACTGTAAATCTCTATTCAGTCAGATGTGGACTACTTACACGTTGTTCTTAAATAATGATAAATGTTCACTGTAACTGTAAGTAATAATCTAAAGAAGTATTATATTTAGCTATAATATTTCATTCTGATAAAATGGGGTACATAAGCTATCTGTATCCTTTTGATAATGAGCATTTTCAGAAACATGACCAGTATTTGAAATGGTTGTTTTTATTACATATACATTTTTCACTCGCTGTGTGTAGTAAACAACCAGTAGTATTCGTTTTTTCCCTCAGATTTATATTTCTGGGAGTTAAATTTCATGTTGTTTAGACTAAATCATTCATCACTCAGCTTTCACTTATTATTTTAAATCATGTTATAAGTAAGACACTGGATGTGAATATATTGAAATTAAGAGACCCACAAAGTGTTAGTACATATTTGTTAGGAACAATATCAAAGCATTACAATGACAAATACTGTGGTCAAATTGGTTTACTCATCCATTAATCGAATATTAGTTTATTGACGGGAATAAAACCTAACTCTAACAAAGGCAACGAAATAACAATGATTTCAATTGAAGATAAATCACCATACTCCAATAACAAAGGCATATATATACATACTTCAGATGCTGATGCTGATGCATAAATTGAATAAAGGAACCATCTTATTTAGATATTGAGGAAAAACTTTCGCTTCAAACTGTAAACAGTCACTTCTTAAGTGTCACTAAGATCTACAACCTTTACATTAACAAATCAAACATAGTTAAGAAATATATTCAGTTTTCCCTTGTCAGGAGTTACAGCTCGTGTCAGTATAATACATATACCTCGACCGATAGTTGGGATTTCATTCCAAGTATCAGTCTAGTTTATTATAAACTAAAACCTACAAGAACGTACATGTATAATTACCGTACTTAAGTTTGGACGTAGATTCACCTCATATGAGACCAATGGGAAATGGAGACCTCTAAATATTATACATTTTAAATGCGACACTTTAATACCCTCATTATGTATATATTGTGCAGATACCTACACTGTACGAGGTCCGTGATTTATTTCCGGGAGTTGGACCATGTGCTCCTAGACCCCCAGTGGCTAGCCGATTTCTGTAGTATCCTCATTACTGATGACCAGTTTCTCCCAGAGGCTGACCTGTTGTTGATCCGAGATATGGAGTTATACAAATCTAAAGGGGAGTTGACTCAGAAGTTAATAACTCATCTGCTCATTGGCGAAAAGAATGAAGAATTTCTTAAACACGCCGAAGTTCTTCTGGCCTTGATGGAAAAGTTTGGACTCATAGTGAAAATGCTTGTGTCGGTCAACGCTACCGACATATCTCATTTCAGTCAAGCGTATACTATTCCTTGCAAGTTGAGGGAGCTGCAGGAACAGAACATCAAAGACATTACTGAAGAAATGGAATGCATCCGACAGAGAAACGCTGCTGTATCTAGCACTTTGTGCTTGGTATTCAAAGATAAATACATACCTGATGAGTTGTTCAACAGAATATTTGCACATATCCTTAGAACTTACATATCGGGTTCGTTTTCACGGCAGAGATTCCAGGAAACGGCTACCGGCAGCCAGACGAATATAAATGACAGCGCTTGCTTCTATAGGGGTTTTGGATGTTTCGAGGTCAATGAACTTTGCAGAATGATCCTGTCTATGCATGCAGTACGGTCAACTATAGCTGTGACGATGTTCAGTCCAACAGAATCCAGGCTTCTTCCAGATTCAGGCGGACATATCAGGCGCACAATAGAACAAATTGTACGTGAGGCACTGAAAATGAGTAACCAGCAACACTTTCTGTTCACATATCAACTGCATTGCAACTTCCACCTGAGTCCGTACGACACGCCCGTAGACTTGCACAGCGTCATTCACTCAGAGAGGGGCGTGCTTTGTAAAGGTGAAGATTGTCAAGGTCGACATCGACTTTCGAGAACGGATGCTGAATACTGGGACGTCACAGAGGTAATCTCTATATTCCCTGAAATGTTTGTTTCTTATCTATCCAGTTTAAGAGAAACCATATGAATTCTTGATTCGTATCAAATTCTAAAAAAAAATATTTATTTGTGAATTGATGTTGATGGTTAATGACATTACCTGGCTCTCTCTCTATGAGTATTATTTGACAAACATATATTATTAAACGTTATGCTGTAGAATGAAATCAATTTCACCATGTCTAAGCATTCTAGATGTATGTGTATAAATTAGTCTCCTAGTTACCCTCCTAGATATTTAAAGTGAAAATAGAGTGTATAATGGTATTGTGTAAACTTACCGTCGAAATACGGTAGCTTTGTGTAGCCTCTCTAGTCATGGGATAAGCCATCATCAATTAAAGTTTTATTGAAATTCCGATTTACCAGACGACTTTTGCGAATCTGGATCTGTTTATTCATGTTACACTAATGGTATTCCTGATCGTATTCTTGAAAGGCTCCAGGACAGGACAATGCGACAGTTTGTGGTGATAATAGTAATGACAGTAGACTGAAGCAAGATGGTGAGTAAACGTCTTAAAGAAATACATTAATATTTTCTCCCTAGAAAGTATAGGCAAATCGCCGTTTTTCCATACATATGCAAACTACTCGCAGTCTTTTTCAGCATGCATACTAATTGACTTCATCTTTTGACTTTGTAAATTATAATATTATGATTTAAATTATTTTGAAGGAATGCTATTTTGTTCGGGAATAATTCAACATTATATAAAATAATAAATATGTATATAAATGTCTATTTTTGAGATATCGAAAATACTCTTTCTAAGGATCTTCCTTATTCCAATACAAGTAGTACTTAACTGCGTTTATTCAATTGTTCATTCTCCTGGTGTTTAAGGTACGACTGAAATTGACAACATCTATAACAGAAGACCAACACCACGTGAACTTGGTCGCCTGTCACGTCTAGTTTGCGGTATTGATTGTGAGCGCTTGTTTGTTACTCTTGGTCTCCCTTACCCCGATATCCAGAATACGAAATTGGAATCACAAAACGTGGCGGTCATCACACAGATCACCAAGATGTTTCTAAAATGGACAAATGACTACCCGAACCAGACAATTCAGCATATCAAGAAGGCAATGGAGGATACTGGCATGGATACTGGCCGTATCAACGAAGTGTTAGTGATTAACGAGGAAACCGATATTCAAGGTTAGAAGATAATATTTTCATAATAATCGAAACCAATACCAATGGAATGGCAATTAGTTAATTACATACATATCACATGTATTGGGATAGCATTATGATGTAAACATTGGTAATCGTATGTCGACATCGTAAATACTACTTTGAAACGGTTTTGATAATTATCATGTGATTTATACTTCGCGATTTAATAATGACAGTATAAAACATATACTCATAGTTATACGAGTATATATCGGGTGTCTGATGATGTTATACCTAGTATACCGAAATGTGTCAACATTTAATAATTCCTATTTAGATCTTCTGGTAGGTGTTTTCCGGTCATATTTTCCAAATACTCATAGTTATCAGTATCATTTATTTACATGTAGATGATATTTGATGCACTAATTTACAAATCATATCAAATGATTCTTCACAGATATGGTTCCAAATGATGTCTGGAACAGACCCCCTACTAAGGCTGAAATAAAGGCAATCGTCACCGAAATTGGCAACACATATTTCAACCTTTTTATTGAATTAGGATTGCCACCACCAATCATTGATCAACATGCGATTGGCCATCCTGTTACCATCCAGGCAAGACTGAGTGCTCTTCTTCAACACTGGGTGGACAGATCCCAGACGGAAGCAACCATAGGGAAGTTATTGACAGCAATGAAACTTTGCCAGATGGATTGGTATTCAATATCAAACTTGTTAAACTGTGAGGACAGCATCGATGATGAGATTCCTTCTCGTCACTTATTCTGGAAATGTTCTATCGTCTAATGCAATATTCATGTTTTTGAAAGTTAATATACCAATATATCGACGTTTTGACATTTAAAATATGAGGCGTGATTCCATAGAGGTGTATTCACTAAAAAAATGTAAACTTTTGATATTTGGTAGCTTCGGATGGGTTTTTGATTATAATTTACGCAAGTATTGGCTTGTTTACTTCAGAAGAACAAATATTGCGGTAAGTTGGTAGTCAACACAAGAAAAAGACATAACATGGATACGATGACTTCAGAACAAATCCTGCGCCAAGTTGGTCGTTAATACAAGAATAAGAAATAAAATGGATACGATGATGATAATATCAAACTGTCTTGTATAGAGTTTAGGTCTTGTTTCGATTTACTTTTTGCTTTTCATTCATGTACATCATCTCAACATTCAGAAACAAGAAACGACAGTGGTTACAAGGTTACCAATTGGAGAGCTATACAGGTCGTCTCATTGTATTGTATTTTACAGCAATGCTATATCATTTTTGCATTTTTGCAATCATCATGAACTCATTGATATATGAATATCTAAATGTTAAGCGAAATCTCTTTCCAAAATTTAGATCTAATTACTAAATGCATGTTTAGTACACGTGATTGTGTGTAACCATTTACAGTCAGTCTCATAACAGTTTTAACCACGTATTTTATTTAGATTTGCATTTTTAAAATTTTCTTTTTAAACATCTTTGTACTGGTAGACTGATGTCTGTAGACGATTGCTTTCATTGCTTAAAACCGACAATTGTTGTATATAGTTATTACGTTTTGTTGTTGTAAATCATAGTCCCTTGGCAATATGTCATTTGATCTTTAATTTTAATGTGATGTAACTTATTTTCAGCTGATGTTGCAAAGTATAATATGCACTAGAAGCTGCACTTTACTTACATATAGTACATATTATAATCGGTGGTATTTATGGTCATTTTTTCTCAGATATTACATGTAAACATTATGTAGTCATAAAATGTTATTTACCCAATGTTCTTGTATCTATTTAAGATCAATACATAACTTATTCGTGTTGAATGTTTTAGTTTGAATTTATCTTTTCCCTTCAGTTTATTGATTTTAAATTTGAATTAACATGATTGTAACATTTCAGTTGACATTCTACTTGGGCCACAATTCGTGGGAATAAACATCGTTTCTTGTAATCAGGTACGAACCTTTCAATGATTATAAGATTTGTATTAAAAGACACCAAAACATGTAAACTTGTTACATTTTGAGGGATGTTTTACAATCACAATTATACCATCGGGAATTAAACGTAGCGGATGTCGTCCATGTAGCGGAAGACGCTTACTCGTCCGGAACACCTCATCTTCTTCTGTCTTTTTCAAGGTTTTGCCTTCATGTTATTTATCTGCTTTTGTTTTTTGTTTATTTCTTGCCCTGGTATCATCAAATGAAAGTTTAAGTTTAGCTGCAATATCTGTATTTTGCTTTTTTGGTTTTGAAAATATTTTCATTATTATATTTGTCGTGCATATACCATTATCCAGTAATGAGATGAAGGAAACATTTTCATAAGCATCTCTTTATGAGATTTTATATTATTGATCTGATTGATTTCGTGATAAAAACGAATGTACAATAAGAAGCGTAACTAACACGTTGTAGATGATATATAAAGACTCACGCAACTGAATCACTATCTGCTATTATCATTTAAGCTAATAGCATTAATTCTTAAATTTCAACATAAGTGACAATTGTCTAGATTCAAATAGAGAAACCTGCCAAAGGCTACATGTGGCATTATTGAGTATGTTAAGTGGCATGTCGGATTGTCATTGCCTTCAGAAGTTAACAAGTGAAACTAAATACCTACTTGGGGAAAAACAAGACATTCAGCACCTGTCAAAATCCGCCCCACATACATTTTCATGAAAGCATAGAAATGCAGATTTCTTTCCTATATTATGAATTGAACATTTAAAATCACAGGGAATATAATATTTTACTAAATCTCACTTTAGGTAAGAACTCTTAGTAGATGAAATAAAATCGATGTTGCTCCTTGTGTGATTTAGTTGCGTGAAAGCTTTCCTCGACTTATATATATATATATATATATAGTTAATGACGATACGCAAGTGATAATATAAAGAAAATAGATTCTTTGCATAGTTACATTGCACTGAGGATCAGCTAAGCTGTGAACACGTTATGCAAAATGCTATCAATTTTTTCTTGTGTGTTTTTTTAAACAATTTTTTTTATATATCTATATATACATATTATTGAATACAAGTAACTTATATTTGTCAGATTTTGAAGTGATTTGTTAGTGTTTTGGATTTTGTAACACTAGTAGGACTTATAGTGTCTGCTTTACTTAACTGATTGCAGAGTAGAAACTGTTTTAAAATTAATAGAAAAAGGATTTCAGAATTTATTGATTAACTAAATTATACAACTTGTAAATGTAAACTTGTCCTTGTTTACTCTATATATATTACTTTATTTAGTTTGACTATTTCCTGCTTCAATCCATTAATACACAATGCTTTATTTCCTTATCAGTGTTTTACAGCCTTGTTATTTTCCGTAAATTGTCAGATATTGGTTGTTTAAGAACATAAAAGAAAACATGAAGAGATATTTTCATGGATTTAGTTTTCCAGGGAGAATGTTCTCTTCTACAGATCTCAAATTCCCTATTCTTACAACACTATGTAAGGTTTAAATCATCACCAACATATTAAATTAACAAGGACATCCCAGCTATAGAAAAAGAAAAAAGACAGAAAGGACACTACCTTAAATCAATCAGATATATACAGTAAAACAGCAAACGTATAGGTTTACATGATAATTTATATTGTCGAACATAATTGACAACATACATAAAACATGTAAGTATATTTTACTAAACTTTGCATGACCGTTCAAGTACGACATTAGAATTGATTTTATTTTTCAATAATCATTGTGATCATCGGTGCATGGTCGCCTTGCTATAGAGACAACCATCGGAACGAAGTTGTCCTTGCCCGTCTTGGGATAGGTCATACTTACCTTACATATTCATATATGCTAAAAGGCGAAGATAATCCTTGGTGCATAGGAAGTGACGAGCAATTCTTCGTTAAACATTTGTTATTGGAAAATATCTCACCTTAAGTAAAGTAGACGAGACATAATCACATAATCCTTCTTCGGTGTATGACAAATCTCGTTGAGATGAACAAACAATTTTGTTCAATAGAAACTTATGATATATGAAAATGCATTAATAAAATACAGTAACTTTCGAGATTCATCTCAAATTACAGCACCACGACTTACCCATTACACTATCGCAGACGTTATTAAATAGTAATGGAGCTAATCCACTGATTCACAATATTATAAGATATGTAGATATACAGGTGAAATATTTATCAGTGACCACAAATATATTAAGTGATGTTAACGTAATAGTAAATCATAAGCAGATATATTACTTAGAAATCAAACGACTGGAAACAGGTACTAACCGTCGGCTGTCAGATCTCGAACTGCCAGATCGATCACAAAGAAATTGATTTGAACTGATTACTGAAATGTCATTGGTCACAGAACACGATATCTGAAAAAAAAACCCAGTAACTGAAGTGAAATGAAATAAAAAGTAAACAAAGTAACTAAACATAACAAAGTTTAACACAGTATCAAAACAGAACAGAGAAAAAAGGCTTTCATTTATAATTCTCCTGTTACTAACTTTCTTCGGAGTAAAACGTTCAGTGCATCTATCACATTCCCAAGCCGGGCAGGAAGAAGGACATCTCCCGGGGGTGTGTAGTCCCTATTCAACACCGAAACCATGGTCAACTCTCCATCCCCTTCAGGGTGCTGGCGTGAGAGCCTCTTTGCACGGGGGCGTCCACGGCTCCTCATACCGCACTAGTGTAGCCTAACCGAAGGCGAATGGTCAATGGTTCAGGTAGGCACCAAACCCCCTAACGCTCTGCTTCCCGCTCCCGTTCACTGGGCATTCCATATCCTCTTGGGATCATCAAGCCTCCTAAAGCTCTGCTCCCTGCACCTGTCCACCAGGCAAGTCATACCCTTTTGGGCCACTAAAACTTCTAAAGATCTGCTCCCCATACCCGTTCACCGGCCATGCCATATCCTCTTGGGACCACCATGTCTCCTAAAGCTCTGCTACCCTCACCCGTCCATCAGGCAAGTCATATTTTCCTGGGGCCACCAAGCCTCCTAAAGCTCTGATCCCCGCACCCGTCCACCGGGCATGCCATATCCTTTTTGGGGCATCAAGCCTCCTTTCATGTTGTTGGACCTCCTCTATATCCTTTATGTCAACGACAAACCTGAGCAGTTCAGAGTCTCCACTTGCACTCATCTTTTCTTTTTTGTTTGTTTGTGCTTTTTTTTACCTGAAAACAAAGAAAACAGAAACTGTTCATGGTGCAACTGGTGCAATTATTGACGGTGACTTTAATACCTCCTCCTCCCCCCTAAAACTGAAATCACTTTAACCATACCTGGATTTACACAAAGAGAGAAGAATAAAAGAAACAATGAAATGAATTTAGCTTTTCTTAACTTTTAATGAAAAAATCTTTCTTATCACCAGTATTCTCCACAGCCCTGGATTTCTCCTAAAATAACTACTTTTTCGAAATATAAACTTTTCTTGATTATATACACATTTGAATATCTCGACATACAATCATTACACTAAACACACACAAAAAAATGAACAACACAACAAAATAAAGCAGATTTCAACCATCCTAAATATCATAATTGATTATTTACACAAAGGGTCTTTCCGGTGTAGAAGGTCAAACTCCCTGACTAAACTCTGTGGTGTCAGTCTGTCGGCTATCAGCACGGTCCCCCTCTCGGTGCGAGTTAACGCTGCCGTATTCAACAAATCGTTGCCCGTGACAATACCTGAAATATGCATCTACACTCTTCCATGAACTTATATATGTAATAGTTCTGATATAATAATGCTAACCAGAAATTTCC